TCCACCAAATGGGAATTCTTATTTTCACACGAAAATGCCGTCTCTATATTAGATCAATTTTAGCATCAAGATCAATGTCTTTAGTTTTTTTAAGAACGAAGGTTGCCAAGAACTCTCTCTCTCTCTCTCTCTCTCTCTTTCTGTGTGTGTATATAACGTGTAGCTTCTTTTCTGTTGTTATAGGCTTGTAGAATATTTCATAGGTCCTCCTTTAAACTCCCTTAGGAAATTAAAGACTTACCAAACCTATGTGCCATGAAATATGTAAGACTATATTATTTAGCTCACATACATAGGAAACTCCTAAATAATTTAATGGAGCCCATTCTAATCTAATTATATATTTATCAAATAATAGCCACTTTACTATACTTTTTGTACACTCTAAATATATATTTTGTACTTATTTATTACATAATCACAAAGAGTTAATTAAAAAGTATATAATATATCCAAAAAATAAGGAACTATGTTAAATTTTTACACTCTTATGTACAAATTTGTATTTATTGAATAATTTCTTACCGTGTGTTCGACCTCGATCAAACTTTTTGACCATTGACCTTTTAACTTTGACTGTTCGATAATCTGGTCGGGTTTTAAATATTGCTTTATATAAAAAGAATAATATGGAAATTATTGAAAATCTAAATTCTGAGTTTTTGAAAAAAAAAAAAAATTCATTCAATGCATTGCTACCACTACAACAAAAGTAATTTCTTATAACATTCTTTTACGGAGAGTGTAACTTCCTCCGGAGCAAAGAAAGGCAAACTTGACATCCCCATTAGATTTTGATTCACACACTTATTTGTTGTCATATTATGGGGGTGTTTGTTTTTTATTTGAGAATTGATTCTCATTTTCAACCACATTTTCTTCAATAAAATAATATTTTTCATCGCATCAATAATTTTTTCTTTTTTTTCAATCACACATTTCCCATCATATCACTATTCAAAAATCAATTCTTCCCCCAAAAATATCTACCAAACAAGATATCCTGTTTTCATAGCAATGTTCAACTCCAATCAAGAAGCAAGTTTGTCAATCTTATTTTAGTGTTTATATGTGTTAAGTTGTGTAAATAATTTGCACCTATATTTAATTTTTGTGAAGATTTTTTTTTGGGCACTATTTTTGAATGAATTTTGACAAAATGAGTGAAAAAAATCTAAGTTTATTATTTCTTTTTTTGTGACGTGGATGGAGCTACTTATTTTTGGGATAGCTAAGTTGTTGATCAAAAAGTTAACTTCAATAGAGATTGATTATTTTGTAATATCTTACTCGGTTGTTTTTGGAGTAGTAGTATGTACTTTTGGCATATTGCTATTAACTTTTCGAGTAGGGTAATGATGTTTTTAGTGATTATTTAGATTAACTCTACATTTTGGGACATTGTATTGAACCACACTCAAAACTTTTGTTTATCAAAATTATAGAATATATTATTATATTGGATTGAATACATAAATTTGCCTTTTAATTATTGTAGATTTGATGGTATTCAAATAATAAATAATTAAAAATTAAATGAACATTTACGACGTGCAATAAAGTATGCCATAAAAAATAGGAAAATTGCGATCGTGGTCCCAAACCTTTCATTTTGTTACAGATTACACCCAAACCTTTTATTTTTGCGGTCGAAGTCCCTAACCTTTATATTTAGTTGCAGCGTCGATCCCAAGCCTTTAATTACATCCATAAAATCATCAGTCAACGTTTCAACAGTAATTTTGACTCTAAAAAATTGCAGCGCCTGTCCCAAACCTTTCATTTTGTTGCAATTACACCCAAACCTTTAATTTTTATGGCTGAAGTCCCAAACCATTATATATAATTACAGCGTTGGTCAATTTCACACATTTCATCCATAAAATCATCAATCAACGTTGAAACGATAATTTTAACTCAAATGACATCGTAATTGATGGGTAAAATTGTCAAAACAAGTTATCCAAAAAATGTTTGTTTTCTTCAAATCTTTCAATCTTTTCACAGCCATCACATTCTCATCATTGATAA